TGGGAATATGTATACACATTAATTATATCTACTACACTACACATTTATATACCCCCTTGGTGTGTTTTGAGAACTAGCTGCAAATATATGTATGTATTGTACTGGTATGTTTGAATCCTCCAGGTTTATAAGACAAAATGTGTAGAAATAATAACATTTATATTATAACGTTTATATTATAACCTCCATTTCTCCCGATATGTAACAACGCTTATTTCAAATTTTTGACACAATTCAATCGATCAATTCTGTCTCATTAACTTATTAAAATGTTAAATATCACGATGATTCAATGATTGTCAGAATTTCGTTTAGTCTTCGATGAATAAAATAATTCGCTGTCTATCCCAGGTCATTTTTATGTTTGATTTCGAGATGCTCTTTCGAGTTACTGCCGACAGAGCCACTGAGACTTCACAATGCTGGATCTTTTTACTGGCGGGCACTGTATCACTTTTGTATTCATACCCCACTACAATGTTCAAAGTTATAACATTCAAAGTTTGCATGCATACGAATGCTCCTGATAAGTATAATCAACGCTTCGGCTAACAAGAACCAGTGTTTTGTCGCGATCGCGTTGAATTTTCTGACCCACTGTAGCGTTTCCTCTTAAGCACAGAAACCAATAAATACGGAAATTATACATAATGCAATAAAACATCTCAAACTTTCCGTACGGAGGCGCCGACTCGTCAAAAGGATCTGTGATTATAAAACGGCGCGATTCATTTGCATGTAAATTACGATGTTTCGAATTGTCTCTTCGCTTACATTGTTTCTCACTTCGTCGTGTAAATAAATTGCCGCTTCGAGTCGCCACTTCTTCGTGGGAAGTTTAAGATAAACAGTCGGTTGTAAGCTTAATAGAAAAATTAAAAACTTAAATTATAAACGCTGTTAGACTGACGGCCGAATACTTAAACGACGCTCAAATCAACCACTCAGCTGAGAGCATCTTAATTTTGAGCAGTCTACTATTATGAATGGGATTCACGAAGCGCTTAAAATTTAAGACCGTGATGAGCTGAGAGGCATTTAAATGATTGTTCAATGGCAACATTTACGAATAGAACTCATTAACATTTTCTTTTATTGTTAAAGTTTCTTTTTACGCAGCATTCTATGAATAAAAATTATTTTGGAATAGAGAATATTAATGACAAATATGATCATTAAACTGATTTAAAGAAATTTGAAGAATTGCCAAAGTCTCTCGTTTACTTTCTTTATGATAATAAATATTCTTATTTGTATGTCAAACTAAATAGAAATCGCGAAAATGTTTTCTTATGGATGGAACGCTTACATTAAAGGACTACTCAAATATCAAAGACAGCCGTCACGTGTTGAGTGACGTTCCAATATACAATTTTTGCAGTATACAAAAAGCATAATTTGAGTCGCCCTTAAATTTGAAAAATCTTTAATCCTGAGATGTCTTTAAACTGTAATCAAATTACAGTTCAAAGGCATCTCAAATACTTGAGAAGATCTCAAAAATTTTAATGACTTTTAAGTATCTGGTCGTAAGATTATTAAGAAACCAACAGCACATTGTTTAAAAAATTAAATATCACACAGTTTCTGGCGATTTGTTAGAGCTTTGAAGATTTGACCTAAACCAATGAACTTAATAACATACACTGCAAGTTAAATACAAGCTTGTAAAAAAAAACACGTGTGGCACTCGGGGACTGCCGCGGTAAAGCTATTGCATAGTATTTTTTATCAACTTATGCAATTATAATTATTTATTTATTTTATTTATGCAGTATTTTTTTTGAGGAGGTGCCCTAACGCCGTAACTCTAAGCAGACATGAGTCACCAGATTGCGGGGCGAAGAGGGGGATTACGCATGCGCAGTAACGCCGATACAACCAATATCACCTCGAGGCGAGTTGCTGAACTAAAGAGACAAACGTGATATTTCAAAAAAGTCATTGAAAGTTCTGCTATTCATCGATAGATGGCAAAAGTAAAAAGTATCACCGCTGTGCCGGTCGGAGTGGGGGGTGTTAGGTTATTTTCGTTACGGAATTTCTGGATTCGGTTTCCACGTTCAAGGCCCGCGATAGAAGCTATGCAATAGCTTAAAAAGTGGACGACAGACCTCCTATTCTCCAATAGCAGTGGTAAATTTCGATTTTGGTTTTTAAGCAATCCAAAAAGCTTTTTGAACCCAAATAATCAGCATTTGCTACGAAATAATAGATCATAAGATGACACAGCACCATTTAAAATTTGGCAAATCGGTATCGAATGAGAAGATTCCATCGATATATGTTTTTATTGACAATTTATAAAAGTGTGAAATAAGGTGTTATATTCTGACCTGGTCTCCCCAGCGACGGGCTCCACGGGCGTGACCACGATGAACGCGTGCAGGAAGTGAGACGCTATCATGTCCGGCGTGAAAGGTGTTGCGCGCTCCTGCAAATTAAATACCACTTTTAGAACAAAACTGACGGCTGATATTATACTTGATACGAACAATATAATATCATATGAATTGTTTTTAAAACGCGTATTCTTTTCTTATAATTGAAAATTATATACAACGATTTACAAAAAAAAAACTTGTGTTTGTTTTTTGTAAATGTAAACAAACTTGTGTTTGTTTTTTGTAAATCGTTTTCTGTTAGATGTTTTCTTATGAGAAATCTCAAATTAAATTTACAAAAAAAAATAGAAACATGTAAAACACGCAAACAATTTAAACAAATATGTCCACACATTTCTAGGTACACGCGGGGTTCTATTCTCTTATTTTTTGATTGGAGATTTTTTTTATTTTATTTCGCTTATCAGCGTGGTTCACATTAATGACAGCCCACCTGAAAGACAATGGCAACGATGTCGTTGCCGACATGTCGTTTGCGCTGCAACTGCTGAGCGTCGCCGGCCGTGTGCGGCAACAGCGGCGCCACGTGGAACATGATCTCGCGGCCGCAGTGCCGCTCGTACACCGCCTCCGTCCCCGTGTACCCGTTCATGATGTCCAGTCCACCGCGATAACCTGCCGACGGCCATGTTTAATCACACAGTGTTCCTCAAAGTCCTTGCTTTGTTTGTATATCCGAAATATTGTCTCTATATTCATGCCGCAAATGATCATATATCTTATAGTTTAGTAGCAGTTAGAAAAGTCTAACGAGGTCAATGAGTATAGAAAGATTTGAATCACACACCACCGTATAAAAGTCGTGATAGGAGAAGTACGCCAAAAAACTAAGAAATTCAAAAATTATAATATTCATTACATATTAGATACTAATATTTATCTTTTCAGAGTATACGCCCCGAACATTTATATACCCTTCCATAGGTTTAAATACTTAAAAATACTTTCGACATTATCAGATGCCTCACAAATTTGATAATTATAGGTAGCCAGTGCATTTCTTTGCTCTCAAATATCCTAGTCTTCATTTTTTTAATTTTGGGAAACAAATAAGTATCGTATGATCCTACTTCAAGGGAATATGGAGGTACAGACACATTTTAATTGAAAAAACAACGTGTTCTAGCGGACGTGTACGGTGCTGTTTAATAGTAGTGCCAAGGACGGTACCAGATTCATGACTACGGTCGCTTATTACACAAAGCGGATAATACTGCTGGAACTCAAATTGTAACATAGCAAGCAGAATTGTCAGAACTACATTTGGATCCTCCAGCATCAGAATAACGATGGGACCGGTGTTACAAAAAAAAAAACGTAGTGACCATTTTTTTTCTGTGTCCTTTGAGCGCGGCGACATTTTGTTGCTGTTAGTTCATTTTCAAAGCACCTTACGGTCGATCGTCGTTTTGTTTCGGGGTCATAGTTGTGCAGCCATGTTTTGTAACCGTTAAGTACATCTTATACGTTTTTTTTTATTCACACCTCCGTCAAATTTCTCTATCATAAATCGGCACCGATCTACCTGCCGGTCTTTCTCTTCATCGGTCAGTTAGTGCGAAACCCACATCGAAAAACGCTTACGGAGAGAAAGGTGATCATGAATAATGGTATGCATCGCTGCTTATCCAATACCCAGTTCTCGATCAAGTTCTAAATACTTAATACTTTTCTCTCCGATCAATTTTTCAACTGCTTGAATATTTTCGTGAGTGATTGCGATTGGCTGCCGACCCATGAAGAGAGGCTTCACCTAGGAAATTTCCCGCCCTCTTTCAAACTCAGTAAATCAATTAAAAATGTTTACTCGTGAACAAGTAAACTAATAAAAAATAGTTCAAAACATTATTAGGGCTTTAATCCTTTTAGCAATCATTATAAATCATAGAGCGAAAATCACGTCGACCCGAGTTCCATTGTTGTGAGCAAATTCCCGCCCGTTTCTTACAAAAATAAGCATTTAAAAAAAAATACAGTAATTCAAATACGTTCCTTTTTTTAAATTTGTCATTAAATAACCAGTATCTACTATTGTGCATAACTGACCAATATCAAATTATCAAGAAAAGAGCATTTAATTACTTTTGGCATAACCCTCGTACTACCGGCGTACACGAGCGACGACGATGGGCGAGTGATCAAAAACATTGCGTTCGAACCAAGAGCTTTCAAAGAGGGTACCAGGTTTAAATCCTGACCACAAACGAATTAACCATTAAGTTTCAAACATAAAATAAACCATTGGCTGCATAGCTAGAGCATGATAAACCATCAGTGTGGGACATTGTGTCACCACATCGGTGGCAAGTCGTCAACGGCCTCTGCACTGAAAGAGCATGGAGGGTTCAAACTGCAAGTGGCCCTCAATAAGAAATGAAAATATTATGGTAAATTTATATAATAACAATAATAATATTTTCGGACGTAAATACATCACCATCTGGTCCCAAATTACGCAACGGGGCTTGTACTATGGGTACCAGATAGTTGATATAATACATATGCACTTTTTTATTTTTTTGTAAATATATATATATATATAATGCATAGAAACAGACTCAAGAACAAACATTTTTTTTGATCAAATAAATAAATTGCCTTGTGATAGAAATCGAACCTACGCCCCCAGCGCAGCTAGTAGGGTCACTACCAACTGCGACAATCAGGCAGTCGTCATCAGTATCATCATATGATGATATCATCAGCCTTTGCAACGAAATAATTATAGCCTGATACTACAACAAGAACACAACACAATACAGTCGAGTTTCGTGTACGAGAAGGTACGGTAAAAGTAAACAGTTCAAGGATACGAACAAGTCACGACGTATGATCGGCGCGCTTCGCGGGCTTTCAAATCGGACGGTTAGTCAGCTTTGAGAGCACGTAGAGAACGAGCAGGTTGAATAAAGTATACGGAAAACGTTAAAAGTTTTAAAAGCGGTATATAATAGTAACCGTCGCAGAAAATTGTAAGAAAACAGAGCGAAAATATGGCTAATTTATGCAAGCCGAATTTGAAAAAACGACGATTAAAGAGAAAATCGCAAGATAGTGTCGGTTTCGAAAAGATCGTCAACAATGCTCATCGATTGCGAACTGAACAAATTGTTAAAAATGCATAAATTCTACGCAGAATCATTTCAATTTGTAATCAAATATTGCTAATGGAAGTACAGTATTACAATAATCAAAAAATAATTAAAAACGATTATTGAGCAATGCCAAGTGCATCAGCCACGAAGTGTTGCCAGATCGATCAACACAAGCTGACGCGGCGCGCGCCCGTCGGCGGCGCTGACGCAGAGCTGCACGCCCAGTGGCTCAGCGTTTTAATTTGAGAACACATAAATCTCGAATATGGAATCATTTCCATGACGTATGTATGTGTGTATATATCATGGAAATGATTCCATGTGTACAAAATACCGACTTCTACAATAAATGTTCTTTCAAATATATCCGATATCAAAAATCTATCTCGTTTTACGACACTAAATTTAGAACGAATAGTCTAAGATCCGACATAAAAAGATCTACCCTCATCTGTTAATTGCGTAAAATAATGTTTTCATATTAACTTCAAATTGCAAGAACCAAAACCTTCGGAGGTGATGATACAAACCTTGTTACAGCAGGCAGCGGCCTTTATGACTACTATAGTTAAATTGCAGATAAATAGAAAATTTATAACAAGAGAAAAAAAAATGATAATTTATTCATTAGTAATTAATTAATAAATTTTAATAGAAGCAAGACTATGGTGGCAGAGATTATTCTGATAAATTTGTAATATTATAATCAGCCTTTAAAACAATATTTTATTCAATTAACAGATGAGGGTAGATTCTTTTAATGCCGGATTTTAGACCACAAATAATAGGTTGGTACTAATAACCATATAGAATGAAAAGAACACCGATATTGAAATTATATATGATTAATCGTAAATTCTGTTTTTATTTTCCATTGAATAATTTTCTCAAAGGGAAATTTTTAATTTTATTTAATGCAATGTTTACTATTGCATTGACAGGACTTATAATTTATGCAACGGTTTAATTACACTCGTCCAGAAGCAAGAGTCAGTCGTACCCCAGAGAACAATAAGCGTTGGCTCGACCCAAGTTTACAGAAGCGCGACTAAAACCCTAGACATTGTTCCGTTAGGGGTTGGAGTTTTTTAGAGTAAACTTTCTACTTTAATCCACATTCTGAACAACCATTACGCTACCGTTAGATAATTTTAAAAGTTATTCTGTACAGGTATGCTGATATTGGTGGATTAACGATAAGCACGTAACAGCGGACCGCAAACTATATGTTAATAATTTTTATTTACTAAACACAAATAAAGACACACCCTACATTTTCAAAAACCCGATTGAGATAAATGTGAGAGAACAAAATAGTTTAAATAAATAGAATTTCTTTAAAAAGAAACCTTATTACATTTCTTAATGAAAGAGGTCGCGTCGCACGGATCAGGAATCTACTTTCGTTACTTAACGTACAATAATTTTTTTTTCAAATCGTCATGAAATAGTTCTTTAACTCAGTTGACGATTTCAACTACACTATAGATGTCAATATTACGCATAATTTAAAATAACTGCTATTGTTGGAATAATATATAAGCAGAGAACTAAAACGTTTACGGAAAAAATAACTAAATTGTCACCAAAGTAATTGTACTTTTGTGGCAATTTAGTTATTTCTCCGTATATATTTTGACATATTCTTCGTTTTGCCTAAAAAATATCAAAATCACTGTGTATACTTCGTCAACACTAACATGACCAAGATCATACATGAGAATACTGCTTTTTGATCAAAACTTTTTCAGTTGTACCTTTGTGATCCTTCAGTTGTATCCTCTGACCGAGCATTTCGAGGAATTCGTCAAATGCTGGCGAGGTTTCATTATTCCCAAACAGCTCTTCTTCGGTGGTCTGTCCGTATTTCTGGTAGAGCACTCCGAATTTGAAATTGGTGACGATCACGTGTTCGTCGTAGGTGGCGATCAGGGACGAGGTGCGCGCGCACACCACCGGCATGAAGTTGTCCACGTTGATCTGCTCGTTCAACATCTTCGCCATTTTCAGGGGTGACGGAAGATTCTCCGACCCTGAAAATAGATATTACACTTCACACACAAATATAGACTTCTGATAATACTGTTAGATTTTGTTAAATCTGGACAATACCAACAGCACTGGGAATAAGTTGAACTCAAACATTGATAATTAGACACACAAGAAAACTATTTTCAAAATATATATCTTCAATATTTTTCGTATATGATTTCGTATATGTCGTATTATTTTGTAATAAAACAATGAAGAATATATATACTTAAGCGTTTTAAAAATATACTTTTTTTTTCTCCTTTATCATTTAAAATGAATATATCCATGATCTTTAGCAGACCGAAAGTAATTTTTTTACATACGGAATTTAAATTAAAAACATATTCACCTATGACATTTACGCAAAGGTGAAGTGATAAGACGTATAATACTTATAATATAAATTTTATAATACATGTAGGGCATATGTACAAAAAAAACAGACTTTTGACGTACTACATATTTTATAATGCAGTCGTTAGATGAAAATGTAACTGATCTGTTAGGTGTCACGCTCAGAACTTTTTACAGTCGACGTTTAGCAGTCATTATATCGGTTCAATAGGAACGGTAATCTGAAAGTATATGGAAAAGCATGTACCCGATCGAAATCGGTAGCCAACTATACGCTCCATATGAACGCGTTATTATTATATTGCAAAAGTAAAATACTAGATAAAAATACTTCGTCTCGAAAATATTATGAATAGTCTACTAAAATTACAATTTAAAAAGTTACGAACAAAAAAAACACATATATTTTCCTTTTTAAACCATGTTTGGTTTTTCTATATTCCGCTTCAAACCAAACTCTATCTATTCGTGAAAACCGCATTAAAATCCGTTCAGTCATTTCAGAGATGTGCACGAATAGACAGACCTACAAAACATTTAAAAGTCTTTGTTTTTCTTAATTTCCTTTCACTTATAGACCCCTTTTCATTTTTCATACTTACACCCGTGTGCAGACGCACCGGATTCTACTGTTTTATTATATTATTGATGTTGCGCATCAAATTGAAATAGATTTTTTATTCTGATCAACGTAGACATAAAAAAAAGAGACTTTCAAATTTCAAATATACGATGAATAGTGGCGCCCAGTCGCCCGTCGTCATGGTCCAGTTACGGGCGCCGCCCCGCGGACGCTGTACCGTAATCGCACTGCACCGACCTGCGGTGGGTATGAGGCCGTGGGTGGTGCCGGCGCGCGTGCGCAGCAGAATCCGGGTGTGCTCCTGGCTGGCCACGTTCTCGCTCTTGATCGAGATCACCACCGGGCCGAGGTTGTCATCGAAACCGATCAGATTCGTGTGCTCCTGCGAACAAAATTACAGCTACATTATTTATATTGCGTAGATAAAACGAGACTGGCGACCACGTGGCTGCGTCGTTGGGTGTTGTGTTATGAATGTAAATAAAAAAAAGTTGAATTCAGAAAATAAAGAGCTAAAAACTAAGTATATACAAACGATTACGCATCGAATGCTGAAGTCCATACAGATACGTTTCGTAGTTTTTTCACTGATGCTCGGACGAGAACAATTAATTTCATTATATACAGAATAGATTTTATAATACATTTTTTCGCAAATATGCATAACCTTATCAAATACAAAATTATTCGAAAACATTCAAAGAAAACATTGAAGTAGTATTTTCTAAAAAAAATAGTTTAGAACATCTACGTAGAAATGTAGTACCGACAACCTTAGAACGGCTGACGAGTAGGTACCGCAAGGTTGCGGACGTGGCCAACCGCGTTCGCGGCGCGCAGCTACCCAATAATCTCATTCGTACAGCCGCGCTCAGTTGCGAACTTGCACTGATAAGAATTCGTAGCATCGTGCTTGCAATCTAGCCGAGCATTTATTAGGATTGTGTTTATATATTTTATAGGTATTCTAAATGACATTTTTGTTATAATTATTTTGGGAAAGTTGTTCTAAAAAAGAAGATTCTGAATATTTGCGAAATGTATGATCGAATCCATACATACAGTATGGGTTGGGCCAAAATATTTTTAAGGGGCAATGCGTGATAACCGCATCAGTAAAACAACTTTTTTAATTTCTAATCACCATGATGATCAGAAATGTGCACATGTATAGTACAATATTTATAATAATCAATTCTATTTTCTGACAAAATGTGACAGTAAATAACCTAAGCTTCATGAACAGGAAGAAATCCTTTACGAAAAACCAAGACTCGAATACACATAGGAATAAAATATTTTTTAACTACTGTTATGAAGAGTAAATATATTATAGAACGTAATCCTAAATTATACTTAAAGTAAAGATGTTTTACGAGAAAACATAAAAACATAAATCGATTAATGCATACAAAGGTTAGGCTCGGCTAGGTTAGTAACATATCATGTTTCATGTTTACCAAATTAATAGCCTTTCGCGGCATTCCTACATTCAAGACTTGTCCGATAAAATTATTAAATACTACATCATCTAACAGGCAGGATTTTGAATAAAGGCAATACAATGTTCACTGAACAAACTTTCATACCATGTAAACCACG